GGGGTTGTATAGAATGGGTTAGGAGAAAGACATAAAAATGCCCCTGGAAATATTTAACAAAGCAAAAGGTACATGAGAACACGAAGCTACATCTTATACCCTCTCTTTTCTCTTGTCACTCCCATAAATGACTGCAAGGTCACTTTTGTTGCCATATAATTAATTACATTAAAGGAGTAGCCCCAATGCTTAGACAAATCTAGTCAACAACTTTCCTAAGTGTAATTTATTTAATGTAGATAATATAGAAAAATCTATATCCTACTTTTTCTTGAATATAATGTTTTTTAGAACCAGCCTGAATTTGTAAGGCCAGGGGGGAGTTAAAAATATTCACATATAACTTTGTAATTATGTTGATATCAGGCCTCAACCTCAATCCTTCTATAGAAGAGAATTTAATTAAGAAATTTGTCCCTTGTGTTACCAGGTTAGACTAAACCATGGCTGAATGGTAAATTATTTCTTTTTCTTTGATTTTCTGTCTTTAAGAGTATAGGAGGAAGAGAAATATATAAATTATCTGAAATAGTGTGTTATGGTTTTTATAAGTAAAATTTCTTCCACCTACTAATTAGTCCACTCAAATTGCTTGGACTAATCTCTAGAGCTTGAAAACAATTTACCACATTTTTATTAAGCTCAATATACTGTAAGTAATTTTTCAAATAGATTTATAGGATTTATCAACCAAAAAAGAACTTAATGTGTACATATTCCATTTTTTTTTCCCTTTAGGGGGGAAAAAAGCTTAAAACTTCTCTATTCTATCCTTTCTGGTGTATTAGCCTAACATCTGTGCAATTATAAAAACCTGTAAATTACACTTTTTTTCTTGTGAGCTAATTGCTGCAAAATTATAATGAAAAAGCATCTAAAAACCTACATACAAAGTAGTATTAGGTAAAATTAAATGGTAAACATTCTAATTAGAATGTAAAATTTTAATGAGATTGTTTTGACAGAAAATCTTCCAAATAATAGCAGTGTATAGAAACTTCTAACAAATGTTTTATTTAATTAATGAATTCCAGTAATTGATAGTTGTATCTCACATTTAAGTGCCATTATTGAAACCAAATTTTTCTTTTCAGTAAGCCTACTTTAAAGAAGCTTAGAAAATATTTGAAATAAGCTCCTTCTCCCACTCAGCCAGCAAAAAAACAAACCACTAATTATCTGAACTAAAACCATCAAATGATATGAGCTCAGTAAATAGCATCAACTAGATATGTCTGAACTAGGGAAAATTAGACCCAATTTTTGCCCACAGCAGGATGGTTAAGTTCTCAAGTAAAACTCTCTCTAAACTGCTATTCTTAAGAGTTGTCTGTTGCTTTCTCCCTTTTTTCTCTTAGTCTGTGGAACACCTCATTCTAGAAATGTGTGAAAATATGTCTCAAGAAAATCTTAGTTTTCGTTTGTTGTGGCCAAATCAGGACCATAGAGAGCAGACAAGGATATCCATTGTCTAGGGCCTAGTAATACTTAAGATAATTTGGAAATGCCTATCTCTAACTATGTAAATATACTGAAGTCAACTCTTTACTCTCTTGGTAATGCACAATATGTACTAAAACTCTCACAAGGTTAAGGTGAGAGATTTGAGGTAATATCACTTTGCCCTAAATGTTTTTATTCACTTTCATGTTCTCCAACCCATGAGGAGGCAGTGGTGTAGAGACTTAAGGAAGGTGAGTTCTTTATTTGGACTTAAGGTTTATAAGCCCAGATTTCAATCCAGTAAATGGTTCTCTGCTCTAGATTTCTCAACTAAGCAATCAGAAAAAAAATAAAACAAAACAAAACCAAAATATTTTAAATCCACAACCTTTTAGAAACCTTGCCCAGATCTTTATTTATTCTGTTTTTCTCTCATTCTCTGACCATTCTGGCATGGTAGGGAGCAAGCTATCCCTGTGTCCTTGACCTCCTTGTGGAGCTTGCTTCCTAGTAGTATTGTTTTGTCAAAGAGCATGCATATTGACTTTCTGAATATAGTTCTACATCTTTTGTAAAGTGATTGGACTTATTCCTTGCCTCGCTAACAGGGTATTAGTGAGTATGTCATTTCACACTGATCTCCTTTTCTGTCATCCCTCAGTGTGAGGGAGAATTTCAGAGTTGTTTTAACTTGAATTTATCTTCTTATTAGTGACTTGGAACAATTTTTTTTTGTGTGGTCATTACCTTGAAGTTCTTCACTTGACAACTCATATCCTTTGACCATTTGTCTATTGGACTCTTATTCTCATGTACTTACATAAATTTTTAATCTGTTCTGGAGGTTAGAACTTTACTAGACAATTTGCAGTGATGCTTTCTAAAGCAAGTGATTACTTTCTGATTCTAATTACATTTAATTTCCTTGAATGAATAAAAAATTATTAATTGCTTACTATGTGCAGAAGTTTTTCAATTTTATTTAATTAAAATTATTAATTCCATCTTTTATGATGAATGTTGATTAGGTAACAGTTTTGCCTTGAAGCCATGGTTGTTAAAAGTGTCTAAAGATTTCTTTTTCTGAGTATTCTATATTAATGAATGAATCAATGAACAAGCATTTGCTAAGTGCTAACTATGTAGTAGACACTGTCCTAGGTGCTTGCTATATAAAAATAAAAAGATGAAACAATTCCTATTCTTGAGAAACTGAAATCTTTTAGGGGAAATAACCTATGCAAATAAAATTATACAGAAAATAAATTCAAAAGCATTGGAAGGCAGTCAAATACATGGGAATTTGTGAGGGATCATACTAGCTTTTGTAGGGGAGACCATGTAAGTAAAGATATCATGTTGAAAGTAATACTTGAGTTTCATCTTGAAGGAAGTAATGGATTCTGTGAGTCAGAGGTGAAGAGAAAGTACATTCCACAGATGGTCAGTGCAATGCATAGTGATGGGAGATAGGGTTCCATGTTGTCAAAGACATTAGGAGTCAAAAAAAAGCATTTATGTTTGCTCCTAAAGGCAATAGGCAATCCCTGAGGTTTATTGAGTATGGGAGTAACAGATTGTGATTAAAGAAAAATACTTCCCTTAACAGATATGTGGGAGAGGGTTACAGTGGGGCAATCTGGAGGCAGAGAGATTAATTAGAATGCAACTGTAGAAGTCTAGGTGAGAGGCAATGAAGGCCCGAATTGAGATGGTGAATAGGCTAACTCGATTGTTAAGTACATGGAGAAAAGTAAAGTAAGAAGTAAGTAAAAAAAAAAAGCAAAGTAAGAAAAGTAAAAATAAGAAGAATGGAAAGGTAGGACAGGGAAAAGGTATGGAAAAAACTTCAAATGTTGGAGAACTTTATTTTTTATCTTGGAAGTAATGGGAAGTCATTGTAGCTTTTCAGTAGTGGGGAAATGTGGTCACCCCTGTGCTTTAAACAGATGATTTTGGTTGTCTAGTGGAAGATTGTTATGAATGGGGAGAAAGCTGAGACAAGGAAACTAATTAGAAGGGTGTTACAAGAATTCAAATGAAGTTTGTCATGCCAGTAGACAGAAGAGGAATTTGAAGATTTGAAAACAAATTGGATAAGTGGGATGAATAGGAGTGAAAAATAAAAAACAAAACTAATGTTGCAAGCATGGTGAACTAGGAATAAGGTGGTACTTGAGAGAAATAGGAAAATTGGGAAGACGGGAATAATGATTTATGTTTGCAAAAGTGAGTTCAAGATGCCTCTGAGATATTCAGTTCAAAATGTTCAAAAGGCAGTTGGTAATAGGTAACTGGAGCTCAGGACAGAAACTTGGGCTTGGTATATGTATGTAGGAATCATCTTTGTAGAGATGATAATTGAATCCATGTGATCTTATGACATTGCCAAGCAAGATTTTATATGTGTATACACACACACACACACACACACATGTGTCTATATATGTATGTGTGTGTATGTATATATAATTTAGCAGACAATTTGATATGTAGGTTAAAGGATAATAAGGGTTAGAGGATAAGTCTAAGTTTCTGAACTTGTATAGATTTTATGCTTTTGAGAAATGTGAATTCCCAGATTATCAAATATTTAAATATCGATATAAAATGAATGATAAATCAAATCCTGGATGTTATGTTTACCCTCCCCCCCATCTCTGTCTCTCTCTCTCTCTGTCTTTCTCTGTCTCTCTTTCTTTATATCTGTCTGTCTGTATGTAACATGTATATGTCTATATCTATGGATTTAGAGTTGACGGGTAATTCAGAGGCCATCTTGTCTGATCTTCTCCTTTCACATACAAAAAATTAGGAACAGAGAGGTTAAGTGACTTGCTCAAAGTTACACAGAAAGTAAATCACAGAGCCAAGAATTAAACTCATGCCCTTATGACTCTGTTTCCATCAACATTTCCACTATACCACATTGACCATTATTGTATCATTCGTGCTTTGGAATCCCACCATTTCACCATTAACATTTCAATGTCTACTGAAGAGTTAAATTTAGATTCTTTCTCTTCCAGTTGTCAGTAGAGAGTATTCTGGCATGAACTTGAAATCTTACTTTATCCAGGATTCAATAGCATCCTTTGGTATAGGGTCTATAAATGTTAAGCCTGTGTTTAGTACACGCTACAACTAGATTGCCCAACTTTGTAAAGGAAATTCCCATCTTCCAATGAAGGTTAAAATAACCTTCACTTGTTCTAAAGAATGTGTTTCAGTATGTGGCCTAGAGGCCTGTACTGGGCCTGATTGCTTATGTTCTATTTTTACTAAGATGGCCATGCTTAAATATAGTTAGACAATTTGAACTGCTAAAATTTGACCCCACAGCTCCATTTTTCTTCAGTATTAATTCTTTAATGATAATGATGATGGTGGGGGTGAAAAAATATCCATCTATTACATTTGTGAACATGTGTTTTATACTATTCAAAATAATGTCATAGATATATGAATAAGCTTTACAATTATCCTATGAAATAAGCAAGGATCATTGTCTTTTTTTTAATTGATGAGGAAGCTGAGAGATAAAGGTTGTTACTTACCCAAGGTCACACATTAAGTGATGCTACTGCAATTTATATCTCATTTCAGCACAATGGTATCATTGGATATGTGGAAGTGCTATATAGATATTAAGATCATAAGAAGCAAAAGGGAGGAACAGTAGGCATTGTTAGTCATTTTATAGCAATAGTGATATTTTATCACCTATTATGGATGAATGCATATCTCAGGTGTCCATTTAGCTATACTAACTCAAATCAGTAAATGTTTTGTTGAGCATCAATTGTGTGTATGATACAATTAGATGGTGTATCACTTAATAAAAATATTTATATATTTGTGTCATTAAGATCTCATTCTGAATTTTGTCCATGCTCAAGTAAACACTTATTTTCAAGAGCTGTAATGAAGACAGTGATATGATAAGAGTCATGCTGACTGGGTTCTATTTCACATTCTATCACTAATTATCAGTATGATGTCATGGGAATCACTTAGTGTCATAGATTTAGAACTGGAAGGGATATCTCAATAAGAGAACTGATGGTCACAGAGATTAAACAGATTACTGAAGATAGCCCAGATTCAAAGCCAGGTCTTCTGATCTCAAATTCAACACATTAACATGCATGCCATGCTTTTTCCTAAGCCCTATGAACCTTAGTTACTTTTTTAAAAAATTATCACATCAGGCATTGAACTGAATTTTATGAAATTATGATTCATTCATTCAACAAATGTTCATGAGATTGCTATGATTGCTATGTGCAATACATGATCCTAATGATTTAGGAACAAGTAAAATAAGCCACAGTCCATGCACTTCAGAAGTTCATGCTTTTTTTAGTGGGTGACAAGACAGGTGCGCAGATATTATTTCCTATCACTGTCCAAATGTTACCGTTAGTCAGTCAATAAGTATGTACTAAGTATTGCTCTACTGGGGACCCAACTGAACACTTCCAGTTGGCCAATGTTGCCTTCCTGCCTTCCTTCATTCCTTTATTCCTTCATTCCTGTCTTCCTTCTTTCCTTCCCTCCCTCCCTCTTATCCTCTCTCTCTCTTCTCTCTTTGGGGAATCATACCTTTACATTTGGGTACTCTGCCCAAAGGAATATATAGATAGATAGATAGATAGATAGATAGATAGATAGATAGATAGATAGATAGATAGATGTATCTATCTATCTATCTATCTATCTATCTATAGATATATATATGTCTCTGTGTGTATACACATATACATACATACATACATACATACATACATACGTACATACTGGAACTCCACAAGATATCTTGGGGTTTGGAGGCTAGATTTTTTTTCTCTGTTCCCTACTCATTTCTTCTATCTTTTTTTAAAAATATGGACAAGTCTTTTGTCACTATGTAGTTTCACTTATGCTTTCTTGAAATACAGCTGTGGAAAACAGGCTTTGAATAACCTCATTGGGATTCAAATGGAGCTACTCGACCATTCCTTAAACAGAAATCACTCTGGTTCGCACTGATTGGCCAATAATAGGTCCCAATCCAAGCCTCACTTGATCATTGTCTGGGTTTTGATGGCTCAGAGTAAGTGTAAATAACAATTGTTTCTGTTCTGGCTAGAAACCCTGAGGGTCCTCCCTCCCAGTTTGATTTTTTTTTCTTTTTTGAGTAGGTAACCTAGGCCATCTTTTGCCTCATTTCTTACCTAGTCTTAAATCAATGAATAGGTATTGCCTCAGATAAACTGAGAGCTGGGAAAGATCTTAGTGTAAAATGATCAAGGTCTTCTGCTGCATCTGGGGTCATCTCCAGTCATCCTGATCTGTGTCTTGCCACTGGACTCAGATGATCCTGAAGGACAGGATGAACTGATGATTTTGCACAGCCCTGCCTCACTTATATCCAATTCGCTTGAAAGTCAAAAAATCACCCTGCTGATGTCATTGATCTTCTTAGAGAATTAAGGACAAATAAGAACAACAACAATTAAATGCTTACTATTTACTAGGTACTCTGTATCATCAACGTATTATAACCAAAACCTACCCTAAGCCATGAAGCCCTAGAGTTATAATAATTCAGACAATTCTCTGGGTTTTGCCTACCTCAGCTGCAGTGCCTCATCGTCTTTGTTCTTTATTCCTCAGAAATACTTATTTCTCTGCTTCTCTCAACCTCTGGCTCTGGTCAGCATTTCTTCTGCTTGAAATGGTACCACTTCCTTTTCTTGCCAATACCCAAAAATGCCAGAACATAAACAGAACCACATTCAAATTACAGCTCTTTAGATTACTAAAGAAGTTCACAACTTCCTCAAGGGTGTTAAAAACACAAACATGGAGACTTATTAAACAGTTATATAAACAATTCATTAACAAAAAGGCTAATGTTGATACTTTTATAGATCAGAAGCACACCTATTCAAAATAAAATAACACTGAAAAAAGGCTTTTCCTAGACAATACTTTAAGACTATAAGTTGTGGACAATATGCTGAACTGCAGTGTTAGAAGGAATTCCATGACCTGGAAGTTCCCTATATCAATGATATAACACTTCCAGTCTTGATCACCTAGTCCTGTCTATGTAAACTCAAAAATGCACATACTGTCTTCCTCATTAAAATATCAACTCATACAGGTCAGGGATTGTTTTACTTTTGTATATCTGTTACATATTACACACTTTATAAATGCTTGTCCATTGATTGATTAATCATTGTGTTAGTATCTCCAATACTAGCACAGTGCCTGGAACAAAGAAGAGTCAATCAATATTTTTTAATTGATTGATTGATTAAACCTTCCAGAGGAATGTTGGTCACACCTTTCCCATCTCAGCTTTTTATGGTTAAAAGCACCCCAAAATCCAAAGTAAGTGGATAGCTTCCTAACTAACTACTTCCCCCAGAGGAACTTTTCAACTGAAGGCAGATTCCCATTCTCCAATATGTCCACAGTAATTCTTGTCAAGCTGTCTTCCACTGTTCTACCAACCAGATAAAACATCTGATTCTGTTTGTTTGGCCATTCTCCAGTCCCCAAGATCCTGGGTCGTTCTGATGACTTAGTCTGTAAGGTTCCCAAATTTGAGCCTCTTGTTGTGAACAAGTAGCTCAACCTAGTGCAGTATAGATTGCTCCTCATGACTCATTAATATAGTTCCTGGGTTGTATAAAGATCAATTTTTTAAAATATTGATGGCCAAAATTCATATCATGTAGAAATTTCTTCCATTATATCATCATTGCTATGGCATTAACTGTCCTTATGATATTGTTCCACCTAATATTGTATTATAATAGAATCAGTTGATAATAAGTGTAATGTGAAAGGATAATGGATATAGAGTCAGGGAACCTGGCTTTAAATGCTGCCTCTATTCCTTTGCAAATTCAAACCTGTGATATCACCTTTCTGGGGCTCAGTTTCCTGATCTATAAAATCAGATCATAGGACTAAGTGATCTTTAAGACTTATTAAAATCTCTAAATCTGTAGTCCTATTATAGATATGTATGTGTATGTATATGAAAAATTTAAAGGGATCAGATAGAGGAGAAATAACTCTAGAAGTAAGATAACCTAGTAGATGACTGAAACACTGTTTAAATATCACCACAGACATATTGAAAGGCTTCATTAAAGTTTCATGGTCTCTTTTTGCAACAGTCTATTTGGAGAATAAGACCAATATTGATCTGTCTTAAATGAATTGAATAACAATATTTGTAAAGAATTTTGTAAGCCTAGAATAGCAGTGAATATACATGATTTAGGAAGTGACAACTGGTCAAGGAATATGTTAATAGTAACAATCTGAATTAGGAAAGGTGCTCAGGAAATTGAGCGGGGGAAAAAACTGCATACTTCAGCAATGTTAAAAATAAAAAACAAACAAATGGGGGTGGGATGGGGAAAGCGTTAATTCAGGACTTGGTAGAAGCTGGGGAAACAAAAAATGAGAAATGCTAAGAAAAAAACTATGTTTTAAATGGAATAATTGGGAAGATTGACATGGTCATGATAGAGAAGAACTTGATGAATACAACTCAGTGCATACAATATTATAAAAGTGTTGTTTCAGGTTGTTTTTTTTTTTGAAAATCAAGTCATTTAAAAATGAATATTCTTTGATTTGTTACTGTAACTGTTGCTCTTGCATGTTCTGAAGAACCATGAGCAAACACTCTTAATGATGAATGGGACTTGAGGGAATTGTTTCAAGCCATTCATGATCCATTATTCTAATAGAACAAATATGACTTGACAATTTTTACTGCTGCTTGAACAGTTAGGAAACATTTTCCCTTTCCATGGCTCAGGGTTATAGGTTTTCTAAATGATTCATTAAGATGTTTCAGCTAGCAAGAGGTGCCCTGGAAAATCACTACTAATCAAAAGACCAAAACAAGAAAAACAACAAAAAGTTACTCCTATGGTTATAGCATTTTCAGATTTACCAGACCCTTTTCTCACAATCTTATTAGGTAATTTTATCATTCCCATTTTTCAGATGAAGAAAATGAGGTTCATGTAGGTTAAGTGATTTGCCCATGATCTCATAGCTTACTTAACCCTCCAAAGATTCTGGCTGCAAGTTCAATGGTCTTTCTACTATATCACATTACATGGTGAACACATTAATCACATCAATCCATAGTTTTATTCAAAATAAGTTCAATAATATGATGATTTTTATTAAAATTTAAAACTCTTCAGAGACTATTAGTATGATAACCAGCTCTTTGCTCAATCATAGATATCATTTTTAAAAAATTGTGTTAGGTAGTATGGGAGTATGGGTAAATCAACTTATAGCACAGTTTACTCCTTAGTGCTGTCTCCAGTCTGGAGGCTTCGTGATATCCGGCAGCTCTGTAGCCTGGAGAAATGCTCAGTGTGTAAGGTTCAAACACCTTTAAGAGGTGAGCCCCACAGTGGCTACAGTTTTGAGCTTGGGCATCTGATTTGTGAAATCACACTTGTCCAAGGACTTACTGTCATATAATATCTTACTCATCAGAGGGACTCTTAAGGTTTTTCTTTTCATGATGCTCTTCAATTGTAATTATTATTGTTCTAATTATTAGCATCAGTTTTATAGTACTTTATGGTTCTCAAAGCACTTTACAAATATTATTTTATTTCCCACGTGATTTCTCAAGCTGCTCCATAGTTTCTATATTATTTTGGTTCCTTCAATAGCTTTTAATGGTGCAGGGCTACTCATATTCACTTATTCTAAAAGTATATGTTAGGCCTCCGGGCATAAATAGAGAAAATCCAAATAACTTAGCCAAATTATTTGGGCAACTTCACATTGCAGCCAGGTGGTGAAGTTGTCTGGGTGCAGGCCCTGGAGTCAAAAAGACCCGAGTTAAAGTCTTGTTTCAGACATTTACTATTTATGTGATCCTAGGCAAGTCACTTAGCATTTGGGCTTTGGTTTTCTCATCTGTAAAATGGGGATAATAATAGCGCCTTCCTCCCATTGTTATTGTAAGGATAAAATGATAAAATATTTGTAAAGCACTTTGCAAACTTTCCAGTGATATATAACTGCATTATTATGGTTATTATTATTGTTGTTGATAATAATAATAAACTGAAATCACATTTTTTTTTGAAATCACACATTTTAAACTTTTTTAGATCTTAGTCAAAGTCAAGATATGCACCTAAAAATGTACATCCAACTGTACTGCTCACAGAGAAAATTCTTATTATATATCTAAATCAATTGGTTTATCCTTACCTAAAATGTTCCAAGTTGTATGTTAAAATTACTGGTGTAGGTTTTTTGAAAAATGAAATTTGAATCCATTTAAACTGAATTACTCAATAATCTCTTCTTTCTTACCAGCCCTGTGCTAAGGGGCTTTGAAGATTTTATCTCTTTATTGGAGTTCTACATCCAGAGCAGCTTTAAAAAAATCCATGTTGGCATGGAGCAAGATATAAGTTTGATCCTCCAAATCCTTCCTAAACATAAAAGGGAGCCAGCATTTTCCTTCTCAAATCTAGCTTTAAACTATTGCTATTCTGAGCAGACCTCAAATACTAAATCACCTCCTAAAGGAAAATCTACCCCTCAAATCACTTCAAAATGCTTTAGCATGGAAATCACCATGGCTACCATCACCTTCAGACTGTTTACTAAGAACCTCCATCATAACTGGGAACAGATGATTTTTAGACTAATTGTGTCTGTTGCACTTTTTCAACATTCACTTACTAGTCAAAGATCAATCTATTAGTATTTTTTAAATTTGTATTTGTGTCAAGCATTCTAAAACTAAATTTCTGTTGATATCCTTTATTTTTAGTATGATGAATAAATGAATATGACAAATGAATATTATTTAAATATAATGAAGAGAAGCTTGTAAAGTAATATCAACTGATTTAAAGTGAAGTAAGTAGAACCAGGAAAACAAAGCACAACAAATGAAAAGAAGGACAATAAAACAATCAAAACTGAATGTTGAAAAATTAGAATGACCAAACCTGAGCCCAAAGAAGAGACATGGAAAGATGCTTCTTCCCCCTATTTCTTACTTTACAGAAATGGGGGAATATGGGTGCAGATAGTGTTCTATTTCTGCAAAGAAGCAAAGAATAGAGGGGAGAGGTATCTTTCCATGTCTCTTCTTTGGACTCAAGCTTGGTCGTTATAATTTCTCATCATTAAGTTTTGATTGTTTTATTTGTTATCATTCTTTTCATTTGAATTGTTGTATTCTTATGTTTTGTTTTCCTGTTCTGTTTACTTCATTTTGAATCAGTTGATATTACTTTACATGCTTCTCTTTATTCATCATACTTATAATTTCTTATAACACTGTAATATTTCATTATGTTTATGTTCTACATAAATATGTTCTACATTTTTAGCTACTCTCCAGTTGATGAAATATGATATAAAAGAATAATATAATATAAAAGAAAAATACTTATTAAACATTACATGTATCAATCACTGTATTAAGTTCTGGGGATACAAATAGAAAATCAAGACATTCCCCACTCTCAAAGAGTTTATGATATGATAGAGAGACCTAACAACTAAAGGAGGGCTCATGAATCATAGTGCATATGAAGGGGAGTAAGGCAGAAAAAAAGTGGCAAGGTAGAAATGGCAGTGTTGGGAAGGGCTTTAAAGGCCAAACAGAATATTGTTTATTTGATCCTAGACATAAAGGGAATCACTGGCGTTTATTGAATA